GCTCCACTTCTGATCCAGCTTCCTGTTTTTGGCCTGGGAAAGCATTGGAGGATGTTTCCCTTGCATGGGAGATCCAGAAGAGGCTCCTGGCTCCTGGCTTCAGATTAGTTCAGTTCTAGCCATTGTAGCCATTTGGGCAAGAACCAGTGAATAGAAGATCTTTCTCTCTGTCTCTATTCTGTATAACTCCATCTTCTAAATAAAATTAAATAAATCTTTAAAAAAAGAAGCAGGAAGGTCCACTATCAGTACTCGTTTTACATTGTATAGGAGATTCTAGCCAGTGTGAAAGTCTTTATTTGCAAATGAACACACACTGGGTGGCGTGTAAGCCATGAGAGTTTATTTCTCACAGTCTGCAAGATGGAAGTCCAGGATCAAGGTACGGGTTGATTGAATATCTGATGAGGGCCTGCTTCCTGGTTCAGAGATGGCCGTCTTGCTGTATATAACCTGTCATGGCACAAGGGGTGAAGGAGCTTCTGGCTTCTCTTATAAGGGCATTAATCTCATTTGTGAGGACTTTGCCTCATGAGATAATCCCTCCCCAAGGCTCTACTTTCTGATCTTGGGAATTGAACTTCAGCACAGGAATTCTTGTGGGACACATTCTGTCTACAATAATTTAATTTTTGAGGTAGTACATTCCTATGACTCAGAAATGGAGGGGCTGATGCTTGGTCCACTGGGAAAGCCACCATTTGGGCACTCAGATCTGATGTTAGTGGACTGGATTTGTGTCTTGGTTCCAGCTTGCTGCTAATATGGACCTTGAAAGGTCAGCAGATGTTGGCTCAAGCATTTAGGCCCCTGTCAGCCACGTGGAAGACTGAGATGAGATGGAGTTTGTGGCTTCTAGCTTAGGTCTGGCTCAACCCCAGCTGGAGGAGACATTTGGGAAATCTGTCAGCAGACAGAAGGTTCCCCTATGTCAAACCTAAGGACTTGAATGTGAGATGCAGGCATTCCATGTGCAGTGTTTACTGCGGTGCCAAAACATGGAACATGTGGTCCCATGCCCCAGTGGATATTTTTTAGTTTCATGATTCTCAAATGTTAATGACTGATTTGATACTAATGGGAATTTTCATGGAAATATTTTTCATGATACCAAACTGTTTGCTGTTTGGGCTGGCCCATGGTCAGGGTCTCTGCTCTGTGTGTGTGTGTGTGTGTGTGTGTGTGTGTGTGTGTGTGTGTGTGTACACGTGTGTTTTTAATTGCTATCTGGCCAATGTTAGATTTCTTATTTCTCTTCCTTTCCCTTTTCCTTTTTCTCCCCTCCCCTCTTTCCTCCTCCTCCTTCTTTTGCTGTTATGCAATAAATGGGAAACTGTGTTGTTTAGCATTTAGTTTTGCAAGTTCACCTGATGGTCTTGTAAAACTGCAGGCTTTCATTCTGGAATGGAGCCTGAAATACTGCATTTCAAAGAATCCCAAGGGTGATTCAGAGGCTGCTGCTCCATGGTTGACACTTGCAGAGGTCATGACCCACTGTGAGCTTGTGTGCTTCTTTTCAGAGTTATTAGTGGCATGGCAGCACCCCGATCTGTGCTCTGTGAGGCTGATTTCCAGCTCTGACAAGATGCGTCTGATAGAGTACTGGGCAAAATACTGTGTGGCACACAATGTGTGCCAGCTACTAGTGCCAATAGATTAGTTGAATTCTTTCCACTTTTTTTTCTAACAACTCCACCCAGTGGAAAGAATTTACCAATGACACTGAGTCTCAGAAATATTAAGTATTGAAGCTGGTGGCTGGTAGAGCTGGGGTTAGGAACCAATTTCTTCTTCTTTTTTTTGAAAGTTTATTTTTTATTGGAAAGTCAGATTACAGGAGACACAGAAAGATCTTCCATCTGCTGGTTTACTCCACAAGTGGCCACAACGGCTACTTGTGAGCTGATTCGAAGCTAGGAGCCAGGAACTTCCTCCAGGTCTCCCATGTGGGTGCAGGGTTCCAAGGCTTTGGACCATCCTTAACTGCCTTCCCAGGCCAAAAGCAGGGAAGAACAGTGGGAACTTGAATCATCACTTATATGGAATGCTGGTGTGGCAGGTGGCGACTTGCTTTTCCACAATGCTGGCTGCAGGAGCCTTTTTTTCCTGGTCCTAGAGCACAAATTATCCACTTTTACTGTATGTCGCAGAGGAAATACAGGGAATTTGGGAGAGGCCCTTCTTCCTGCTTGGTGCGGCCCAGGTCTTCCTCCCAACATCTTAGCCCCAGGCAGGATGAGCAGACCAAGCACCACAGGAAAGACTGATGACACAACTCTGAGTCGCTTCTGTCTAGGCATGTGTCCTTGTGAAGATCACTCAAGCACCTCTAGGCTGAAAATGATGTCATGAATTACCTTCAATGTTTCTATGACATTGTCTCTGAGGCCTTTTTAAGTCATGATTCCAAGACATGGCCTAGCACAAGGCTAGAATTTCTTCTGGAAGCTAGAAAGCTTTAAAAGTAGCAAAATTGTTTTCCATGCTTTAAAAACAAGTGTGTGCACGCGCGTGTGTATTTGGAACAGTTATTAAAGTTAAGCCATTTTGACCGTCCAGTGCATTATGTAAGGTCCTTGAATAGCTGTATTTGGAGTTGAGTCCACAGGCCAGATGTGCATTGCTCCACATGGACCATACAAGTGCACCTGTGCACCACACATTGTTGCATGCATCTTTTTTTTCCTACACCTCTACTGCTGTAGTTGTATCACTACCTATAGATACTGCCATTTTTATTATGTGCTTTACTCTATCTGTGCAATAACTGCCTGCCACTGCAGCAGAATCTTGGGTCTGTTTGGCCATTGTTCTTCAAGCCAAGCAGTGACACAGGATGACACAAGAAAGCGAGAGCTCCCAACTAATGACTCACTCTGTTTCTTCACTGCCGAGGCTAAGAAATTCGGAAATTTTGATGATAGCAAAGTGGGATCTAGTCCCGTGGCATGCAGGTGGATGTTAGTTGCCCAGGACCTGAAGTTCCTGAAAGAATTCCTTAAGATAGGAAATTATATATAGATGAGGTAAGTGAACTCAGAGACTTGTCTAATGTACTACACCCCCAATTTAGCTGGAGTTTGGTAAGAGGTTTGATATGAATGTGAAACTTAAAGAGGTAGACTGAGATGAGGGCCAGAGAATATTTCCATAAAAGACACCTAAAAGGACTCGGCTTCTATGTTGATTCCTTCTTTGTCCTCTTATGTGGCCATGGCAGGCAACTGCCACTGCAGTTTACGGGGTTACGGAGACTGTTTATCTTGGAAGCATGTTCTCAGAAACTTGCTCCAACCTTTCAAAAGAATCACAAGTAGTTCAGCATACCATTCCGCAGGTAATCTTCCAGCTTGGCCTCCCAAGGGAGGGGTGTTTCCTCTGTCTTAGCACAAAAAGTTACACCCCAGTTCTGGCATTCCAGGAGCCACTTTGACTATTTACATGGCTGCTTCATGGTCTTAAGAAATCAGTTAATTAGAAACTTGGTTCAAGCAGAAGGAAAGGGGGCAGGGAATATTTAAAAACACACAAAAGAAAACTTGCGCAAGTTGAAAGCTATGTAATAAAGTGCTGCTGGTTCTCACTCATGCAGGACCTCAGACCCCTGTCATCAGTCAGTGTACAATTCACGTGGGTGCTGAACCACCAGGGAGGTGGAGGTTACTGGGGTCGTGTCCTTGGCTAGGTAGTTCTTGTAGTACAAGTGGTTGTAAGGCCACAGTTGGGTCCAGCACTTGGCTTCCTGGCTCCTGTGCCTGCCTTCCTCTGCAAGCTCTCTGCTACCCTCACTCCGGGCCAAGCCAGTGGCACCTGCCGAATTTTGGATTGTGATCCAGAACCACAAACCAAAATAACCTCTTTCCTTTGCATTGTTGTAATAATGACAAATTCATGACGCACTACTTACATGAGCAGGATTTACTTCTGAGTAGAATGTATTAAATTTTGGAAACTTCACCTTTGATATGTATATATTTTCTAGTCATAATTGGCACTTTTTGCCCAAACGTCTTTCAGATTGTTCTCCTTACAATTTACCTTAAATCTGCTTGAGGAAAGTGGCTTACCCAACACCTGTAGGAATGTACACCCTAGGCTGAGGCATGCTTTTCTGGAAAGAGCTTCATCTTAAACGGATTCTGTCACCATGATTTCAGGAATTCACATGTGGAAGTTTGTAAGTAAAAATCTTTTTTCTTTTAAAGAGAAGCAAGAATACAGGTAAAGATGTTTGATTTTGTAATAATGCGAATCCATTTACACAGCAACCAAATCATCTGGGGAATATGGAAGTAAGGCTTTCCAGCGTTACTGTCAACCTCTTCTTTCAGCACAAACTTGCATGTGATCTCTTTTCTGTATATCTAAGATCTAACGGTCTGGGGATAGTTCTTAGCAGTTTTCTTTCTTCAGAGAATTTTCCATATCACAGTTACACCTTTAGGAAATAGCTGAACTTGATGTGTATGATTTTATTTCATTCAAGTTCTGAGTATTTAGTCTTGGAGAGGCAAAGGGTGTTGAAGAGAAAACTAGTTTTCTTTCCTGGCAGGGCAGAATAATCAGTGGTCACTATGTGTGTATTTGCCATACATTTTGGTGATTACAAACTTTGTAGTAGGCTCAGACCAAAAAGACTTTAAAAAAAGGTTGTTCCACACGTGGGCCTGAGCACTCATGGCTAAAAATGAAACACTTGATAAAAGTTGCTTTCTCAAAGTTCAGCTTATTCTTGATTTGTTTTTTGATATGGACTGCTTACAAGAATCTTCTTGCTCTCAGCAGCAAGCGAAAGCTCCCACTCCAGTCACATCATTATGTAGTACTAGGGACATGCTGCTTAACCCTAGTTCACCTTGCCCAGGCAGGGTAAAGCCAGGCTGCGAGGACTGCACGTGTGCAGATCACACGTAGTACAGTGCTTCAAGGAAGAGCAGTCAAAAGATGCTAGGAACAGTTCCATATTCTTTTGTGCATGAAATACAAAGAAAACAAGTAGCACTGGTAACAACACATTTATTTATGTACCCTGTTGTGTGACCGGGAGGTGTTTTTCACTTTCCAATCATTGATTAGGTTGTAACAGTTCTAATTCCAGAAAGTAAACTAGTATTTATTGTTGCACAGACATGGTACCACATGAAGGAATTTTAAACACTTCTAAGCTTTCAGGATAGCTCTGAATATGGACCGGTACACAATGGCAATGGACCTAGTAGGTTACCAGTATGCATGGTTCTCTTCAGACACAACAGGACAAATTTGGACTTAATTAGAACTCTAGGAATTGATCCACATTTCTTAGGAAGCTGCAAAAGGCCAACGTTACTTAAGCCTGTTGTATTTATCACCATGAATAACTATGCTGTTATTAAAAGACCATGGTAAGTTGCAGCCAACTAATTGCTAGTCTCATTTTGCAGATTAACAGTTAAAAACAATGTGCAGCAGATGGCAGACCATAAAAGTTTGTATTTAAGTAGTACTCACGTAACCTTCTGTGTGCTAAAGGAACTCAGACAAGTTGAAAGCATTGGACAGTGTATCAAGCTGGGTTTCATGTCAGTCTACTCTTCCCATGAGAGTGCATTATATGGGATGTTTCCTTTCACAGTGCCTTTTATTCTTGGCTTCACATATTACTCACAGCATTTATTTTTAAAAGAGTTGAGTAAGTCTAACAGATGGGTACTCACTGCTAGAGCAGGATGGAAGAATGTGCTGATCACCAAGTATGAGATTTACATTTACATTAAATTAACATTAGATACTATAGGAAAAAGACAAAGTAGGAGTTCCCAGATCCTACAAAATATTATGGCTAAGGAAACAGAGAACTCAAAAAAGGAATCCACCTCCAAGAAACAAATTCAGTATAGTAAAATAGAATTAAGTGCCCTGTCATTGGAAAAAAGTTTATTAATAACAAAGAACAAGTGGGACATTACACATTGTTTCTTTGGAGGTTAAAGTGCAGGCTATGAAATGGCATATAAAATAATGCATAAAATAGTGCAATCTTAAGGTGCCATTATTTTTATTACACATAGCCTATTTTTCTATGTCCATTTTCTCTCAAAAATCCAGCTGTAGTGACACCTTTCAGCTTATTTATTTAGGTATTACTTATACTCTGTTTTACCCATCTTTGGGGCTACATAGAATATTTCAACATTTTAACATACAGTATAATAGCGCATACATCTTGAAGCTACTAGAGATTAAGGCAAGCCCCTGCAAAGTTCAGTATGCCAAAAAAATGTTTTACAAAAAAATTCGCTTCCAAAACTGGTGGTTTTTAGACCTGATGGCACCCCAAGAGTCTTCAAAGAGTATGACTGCTCTGAATACATCCATGTTTGCTCAATTATTCCCAGGTTCTTTACATCAAAAGAGGAGTTTATGAAGCTAAACTTCAGATTATGTGAAAAGCAAGACAGCCAAGTCCATGTGAGAGAAGCAGGGATGGCCCGAGGAAGTGGGGCCAGTGCTCTTCCTTTCTCTGATGTGCCTTTCACATTTTATCCTTGTGGATAGTGTGGTACCATCATTAACTTATAGGTGGGGATGACCCATTGAGAGGCAGCCAAGGAAGCTGATGGGAATACTTCATGAAATGTGATACTAGGACAAGACAATATTAACAATGTAAAGGCAGGATGATTGTGTTTGGACGCTAATTTACACTTTCACATTATGTGTCAGTTTTAGCTAATTCAGGTAACCTGATCTGTTGAATCTTAAATATCACTACACTATCCAAAAAGCAAGTGTTAACAGTTGTCAAATAAGCATCCAACTAAGTAGTGTAGGACAATATCCTGTCATGTTAGCTAGATAGTCTAAGTGATCTTAAGACTTAATTGTAGTGTTATCTCCTGTCAGAATATTTCTGTATTAACAAATACAACTCAACTTTATGCTGTAGAAATCTGGATTTTGGAAGAGAGCATCTACCTTCTAATGCTTATTTGGATGTGAATGCTTATTATGAATGTCACAGACTATACATATATTTAGGGTAGCTAGATGTAGTTGAAAACAAATTCAGGAAATTGTTAATAATTCATCAACAATAAGTAACCCAAGGCTAATATCCCTTTGATGCATAAGGATCATACATTGTACACCTGTAAACATATACTTTGATACTTTAAAAAGTTCCAGAAAAGCAGAATATTAAAGGCCATAAGTATTCCAGTAGGCCTCCTCCAAAGACACGATAATATGGCTAAATCCCATGATTACAAAAATGAGACCTGCTGAGAAAACGAGTTCCAGACAGGGACTTTTATGGATAACCTGGGCTGACAAACATTTTTTGGAAACTGTTTATTTTAGAATTACCTTCCCAACAAACCATGAAACATTTGGGTATTACTTTATGGTTTTTCACTGAAAACATACTACATTGTTAAATGGAGTTTCCAAGTTAGACATAGAATTGATCAAAATCTAAGGACAATATTATGAAAGGATAATATTAAAAATGGAAAGGAAAAAGTTTCGCTTGGTAATATTAACCTAAAGGATGCAAAACCATGTCATGTTGGACGGATAAAAAAAAAACGTTGATAATTTTGTGCTTTTATTGAATAAATTCACCTGGGAAGGGATGACTTTCTATATTAACACCTAAACTTACCATATGTAACTGAAGCCCAAGGCAACAGTTGTTTAAAAGAACTTAACAGCCAGATAACTACATAATTTAGCACATAAAATAAAACAAGGACAGTGACAATTGGAGGTCTTAAAAATATACAACTGGGGAAGAAACCCCATTATACACCATTTGGGAGCTGTTAAAGTGACCACTCGGAAACGTTGAACAGTGCAAGACATGCTTTTCCAGTTACAAGCTCAAAACAGGAGTGCAAACAAAATTAAAGCTTTAAAGTCATAGGATAGGAAAGCTTGAAATGAATAGAAAGCTTTCCCCTCAGGTCATCCCCCATAAATTAAATGATCAAAATGCTTTGCTGTGTACAATTTTCTTCAAAGGCTACACTGAATTCCACATGTTGGGTCTCATATCCCGTTTAATCAGTGAGCAGGCAGTGAGAGGGAGGATCAGTATCCGCTCCTGGAGGTCTGACAAAGATCTGCGCCTTGGAATCTTGGGTTCTGCCTTAGCTTCTGAACCTGAACCTTACAGACAGAAAAAGCAATGGGCTTTAATAGTCTTTTGTTATAAAAATGGAGGGTAATGGACTAATAATCCCCCGCCTAAAGAGGCAAGCTATTGTGGTGTAAGATATTAAGCCTTGAACTAAGATGCTGCTCTAAAGAGTGGAGAGGTTCAAGATCAATACCAGTGCAAGAGCTTTTGAAGTGAGTTGACTAGGCAATGCATGCATCCATCCATGCAAATGTTGGACATGGCCCCAAAAGAGAACTAAAAACGTGTATGCAATAATTGGGTAAGTCCCTTGCCAGTAGTTTATAAAAATATATAGTCGATACTGTAGAGGCTCCTTCTACAGTCAATACTATGGAAGTCCACTGAAGTTACCCATTAGTTCAATACCAAAAAGCATTAACTACTTTTCAGACGTTCCAGACGAAGGTCACTTATAACAAAAAGTCAACTTTTTTTTTTTTTAAACAACATAGTGTCCATTTAAAAAGGTTTTTCTTTCAAGTGAACAGGACATTTTCTGAATTAACTTCTTGTCTATCAAGACTGGGTTTAAGATCCCTATGTAATGTGCATATTTGCAGAAACAAATAAACTTAAACATTATCTGCACAGAAAAAAAAAATGCTAACTCCTCAAAACATGATAGAACAGGTCTGGTTAGTACAAATCTATTGCAAAATAAAAAGATTCTGTGCATCAGTTCAACCAGGAGAAGCGGGAAAGAATGTCCCAACCTAAGAGTTCAAGTTGTATTCTGAAAGCCTAGAAGCCTCAGGGACACTGTATTGCTCAGTGTCCTGATATGCATAACTGCTTAAGCTACCAAGCTACATGTTCCTCTGGCATTAGAACCGTGTTCCAATTTACTTTCTATTCCGAAGACGTTTAGATTTCCTAAGTGAGTCTATGGCTTCTGCTGCCTTTTTTCGTTTCCGAGGAGATTCCTCATTCTGCCCAGGCCCTGATGAGTTTCCTACTGCACTTTCCATTACTTCTCGTAGTTTGCGTTCCAGCTCTGCCAGCCGTGCATTCTGTTCACCTATGATCTGGGTCTGCTCTAGCAGTTTCTGGTCTTGGTCTTGAAGCTGTTTCTGTTGTTCTTGCACTTTGGTGCGAAGCTCAGAAATTTCACGCCTGAGAACAGTCACGCCAGCACCATTTGTTTTAACCTGCTGCTGGAGTTTGGTAACCTCTTGTCTGGAAGGGTTTTGCTTAGAGAAGAGCTGCATTGTAGTCAGGGCTGCAGATGGTCCTGGGACTAGGGGGACACAATTTAATAAGATCAATTACTCAATCATCATTTAAAACATTACAAAACATTTTTAGGACCTAGTAAGAAAATAAAAGTAGAATTAGAAAACAACTACTTTATCTTGTACTATATAATCAAGCACAAGATTTTGAATATGTATAGACCTATTATCATAAGTTCATTCCACACTTATGTATATGCAAAAAAAATTCAACTTTAGCCAACTGGGGATTCCCTGTAAGAGTGGCTTACATCATACATGATGATCAGGAAGCATTTCTTCCCTCCTCTCTGAAGATTTCTTTACTTGAAAGGCAGACTGACTAGGGGAGGGGGGGATGTGGGGAAAAAAAGAAAGTGAGCTTCTATAGTTCACTTCCCAAATGGGCATAACAGCCAAAGTTGGGCCAGGCCCAGGCAAGGAGACAGGAATTCCATCCTGGTCTTCCATATAGGTAGCAGGGTGCCAAGTACTTGGGCCAGCTTCCACTTGCCAGGCACATTAGCAGGAAGCTGTTTCATAATTGGAGTAGCAGACACTTAACTGGCACCCACTATGAGATGACAGGACTGCGAGCAAGCAGCCAACAGCAGCTTAAACCAATCTGCTGTGTGTACAATGCCAGCTCCAGGGAAATTTTTTTCTTTTTTAACAAGATTTGTCTATTTGAAAAGCAGAGCAACACAGAAAAAGAGAGACCTTCCATCTGTTGGTTCATTCTCCAAATGTCAACGATAGCCCAGGCCGGGTGAGGCTGAAGCCAAGAGCTAGGAATGCCATCTAGGTCTACTATATGGATGGTCAGGAACTTAAGCCTTCCTCTATTTTTCCACGCACGTTATGGCAAGCGGAGCATCTGAGACTTGAACCAGTGCTCTGATAGGCAGTACTTGTGTTAAAACGGTGGCTTGACCTGCTACACAATATGCTGGTAATACAGGAAAATTCAGAAGCAGAATAAAATATGAACATACAAAACCACTGTTTTGCATGAACAGCCTATTTTAAAACCCTCTCTCCCAAAGGTTCTCTGAGGAATGAGCCAGCCCCGCTAGCCTTCCCTAGCCGTGATAATCTGGCTACTGTCTTCTTCCTCCCTCCGCTTCACCTTATCCAGCTTCCACTCACACATCAAGGCTCAGATCAATTCTTATCTCTTCTGACATCTCAGTCACATCAACCTGACCTTTCTTAAGATTCTGTGCACAATTGGCACTGAAAGGAAAAACACTATTTGAAAGGTAGAGTATCAGACAGAAAGAGATCTTTCAGCTTCTGATTTACCCCTCAAATGGCTGCCACTGGTTAGGACTAGGCTGGGCCAAAGCCAGAAGGCAAGAGTTCCCTTTGGGTCTCCCGTGTGTGTAGCAGGGGTCAAAATATTTGGAGAGCTTCCACTGTTTTCCCAGGTGAATTATAAGGGAGCTGGATTGAAGCGGATCAGCTGGAACTTAAATTGGTAACCCGATATGTGATGCTGACATCACATGTAGCACCTTAACTTAGTACACCACAACACTGGCCCTATAATTGACATTTAATTTAGTATTGCCTTTAAACATTTCTCCTTGCCTACAATAATGTGTTTTAGTATTTATTTATTTGAAAGGCAAAGAGTTGTGCATAACAAATACAAACCAGGGTCTGTAGTCCAATCACTAAAAGTTATTGGGGCATGTGTTTAGTACAACAGTTAAAGTGTTAAGATGCTGCTTAGCATGTCCACAGCCCACTACTGTAGAGCTTGAGTTTGCATCCCAGATGTGCTCTCAGTTCCAGCTTCCTGATGGTATGCACCTTGGGAGGCAGCAGCAATGGCCCAAGGGGCTGAGTGCCTGCCACCCATGTGGGAGACCTGTCCAGTCCTTGGCTCCTGCATTTGGGCTGGCTCAGTCCCAGCCTTTGCTGGCTTTGGGGAGTGAGCCAACAGATGGGAGAGCTCTGTTTCTACCTTTTAGATAAATGAATAAACATGAAAAAAGAAGTGTTAGTATTAAAAAAAAATTCTTAAAAGAAATGTTATAAATATTTGCTGACACAGAAAAGTTCAAGGTCTATAACTAAGGCGGGGGAACCAACCCAATCCAAATTGTCAAACTGTGTATGAAGGTTATTATATACTGAGCATGCTATAAACAAATGATACCTGGAGGAGAGCCTATGAGTCTTCCAGACACGTCTGATCCTGGCAATTTCCTCTTTAGAATTGGGACAATCTTTTCATCAAAGTATTCCATTGCCATGGAAGAAATATCCCTTAATTCCTGCAGTACTTCATGGGCTCGTTGAGGGGCTCTGGTAGAATTGACATACCTCAACACACGGTAAATCTCATCAATCACCTAAAACAAATTGTCATTAGCACTTTAGATTTTTTTTTTTTAAAGAAAACAACTGAATTAGCAGAAGTGATTGCGCTAGGGTAAAGGAATCAAGATAAATAAAATAGAGGCCTCGTCCTGAAAGAAATGACAGCATAGCAAGAAAGACATATACATACAAGTGACAGAGAGGGACATATAAATTATAAAAGAATGAACACAAGGGTAGAATGAAGGATTGCCCAAATCCAGACCCCACCAATCCTGCAGACCCAATTTGTTCCTCAAGTCCAGGGACTCAGTCTGATTTCACTGCCCTCAGGTTTGTTTATCTATCCATCTATCCATCCATCCATCCATCCATCCATCCATCCATCCATCTATTATATGTTTATCTGAATGGAAGAGTGAGAGAGGAGAGAGAGAGCCAGACACCCACAGTTGGGCCCATTCAAGTGCTGTCTTCCCAGGGAGCTGATCAGAAGCAGGGCAGCCTGAACCTGAATAAGCTTGTGAGCTGTATCTTAGCTGCGTCTTAACTGCTGTGCTGGTATGCTGGCCCCTCGAGGTCTGCTATGGACTGGAATGATACCCCACTTCCCTTAGCATCACCAAAAGGTAGCCAAAAATCCTTATACCTTTTAATAACTATAATGGGAAAACATATACATAAATACATGGAAAACAAACAAGATTTTTGCAATTCTGCCTCCTAACTCTCTTGCTGGAACAGTAATTGAACTTTTTTGAGCATTTATGCTTACAGCTTTTGCTCTTATGAGATTATCATCAATAACTCTTGTGGTTTAAGCATAGATTTCAATATAATTTACAGCTGCAGAGATTCCACTCTGAATAACTTCTGTTTCAATGCTGTGTCACCAAAACCTCGAATCTCGTATTTCTGACTTCCATTTGTCCAGCTAGTTTTCAACTTTGGATCAATCTTAACGATGACCTAGTGTCTCTTCTGCTTTACCCAGACTACTGAGCATGGCTAGAGAAACACTGAATCTCGCAGAAGGGTACCAGGACAAACTCATTGCCCGTGGTATTTTCTAGCTTGATGTGTGCTAATCAGTGTTAACACAATTAAACTGTTCATAGTGGTAAGCCTGAGACTCTGGGAACAGGGCAGGCCTGCTGATTCTGACATGGGACACACAGGTGACACGTGCCAGCAGGTAGTTACAGTCAGGAGTGCTGGAAAGGGGCTGGCATTATGGTATAGCAAGTAAGCCAGTGCCAGTGATACCAGCTTTCCATAAGTGTTGGTTCAAGTCCCAGCTGCAACACTTCCAGTTCAAATCCCTGTCAATATGCCAAGTACTTGGGCAGCTGCCAAGCACAAGGAAGACCTAGATTAGGGTTCCAGGCTCTTGGCTTCAGCCTGATCCAGGCCTAGCTGTCTGGGCCCTCTGGGGAGTGAACAAGTGGATGACAGACTTTTCCATCTTTTGCTCTCTGTCTCCCTATAACTCTGCCTTCAAGTAAATCAAGGAACACAGGAAAGAAATTGCGGAGGATGGCAAGGCTTCAACAGTGAAAAGCCTAAGCAGGACTGGGCTTGCCAAGGGAGCAGTTGCAGAACAGAAGACTCAAAGGCAGAATTCAAGGCACTAGTGGTAAATTATATACTCATTTCTGACACTGCTGCTACTATATTGTTAGTTCATATTGGCAGAAAATACATTTTCCTCAATAACTAGTTGGAATTTCATGCTAAAAGTACTGCATATAGATATACAGAGATTTACAGAGAGAAGGACAAAAATCTTCCACCTGCTGGTTCACTCCCCAAATGGCTGCAACAGCTGGAGCTGAGCTAATCTGAAGCTAGGAGCCAGTAGCTTCCTCCAGGTCTCTAATGCGGGTGCAGGGTCTCAAACCTTTGGCTCATTCTCCACTGCTTTCTGAGGCCATAAGCAGAAAGCTGGATCAGTAGTGGAGCAGGTGGGAGCAGCCAGGTCATGAACTGGTGTCTATAAGGGATGCAAGTGCTGCAAGCCAGAGGATTAGCCAGTTGAGCTATCATGCTGGCCTCTTGCATATTTGCTTTAAAGGAAAAAAAATTTGGAAAACTTTTCTTTGGGATTTTATTAAATGTAAGTATATCCTATCTAAAAAGATATTATGCAAATACTGACTTCTTACTATGTACTTGTCACTTTTCAGAGCAATGGGATAAAAAACAGCAAATGTGCATAGAAAGTTCATATTCTCATGAAGGTGAAACAAGAGTAAAACAGAGCAGTGCATGAGGAAAATGGAGGCAAACATGATAATTTCTACTGCAGAGAGAAAACAACAGAGAGGTGGTTGGGAATGGCTTTTCTGGCATATTTAAGTAAGACTGGATGATAAGGAGGAATCAGTCAGTTGGTAATCTGGGGGAAAAGGCATTCAGGTGGGCAGAGTAACAGCAAAGGCACTATACATATATATACACATACACAAATAAGTAGGAATTTTTAAAAATACACATTTCCAAATAATTTTTATGAAAGCTAGTAGTAGTACATAGTATTTACACAAAATTAAGAAAAGAATAGGAGCCAGTGTGGTGGTGCAGCATGCTAATACTCCACCTGTTAGTGCTAGCATCCCATATGGGCACTGGTTCTCGTCCTTGTTGCTCCATTTCCAAACAAGTTCCACACTTGTGAACTGGGAAAGCAGCAGAGGATGGCTCAAGTCCTTGGGCCTCTAAACCCATGTGGGAGACCAGAATGAAGCATCTGGCTCTTAACTCTTAAGTTACTAGTCATAAGAAGCCAAAATTGGGGCATTTAAAGGCAGGGCTTTGGGAAAGTCATGAACTGAATCCTATGGCTCTTCTTAAGGAGACACTGACAGTGGGGCCTGCCTGACCTTGCAGAAGAACCTCCAAACTGTAAGCTAAGTAAACCTTTTCTTTTTATAAAATTAGCTGCCTTGGGCATTTAATCATAGTAACAAAAAGCTGACTAACACACCCAGTTTTATGACTAATGTAACAGGCTGGGAATGAGTATGATACAGATCCTATCCAGTAGAATATAATGACCTTGTGAAACACTCATAAACTGAAAGTATACTCAGACTATAATAAGTCCAATGTACAAGCAAATTATTCGCATAAAAACAGAGATAAGATTCCTTTGAGGGAAATGGGCAGGTCTAAATACACAGTAATGAGGAATAAGAATTTCAACCAATAACAGCAAACGAGAGAAGGAAGGGTATTTAGATGAAGGAGAGTGGCATGGAGCAATGAATGATGTGGATGGACAGGTGGAAGAAAGGCAGCTATTAGTTTGTAGTATTATCATCTATCAGAAATGTATTCTAAGGTTGGTTTAAAAAGATGTATTGTAAAATTAGTTCCTTTCCATAGCCCTTGTTCTTTTCAGAATGAACTTCAGATCCATGTATTATTCCACAGGGATCGCTGATACTCAGAATTATATCTATGAACTAATCTGTGAAATATTCTTTATTTTGTGTTCTAAACACATGTGAAAGCAAAGTATCTTTCTGTTTCCTCAGGTATCTATTTATGAAATCTTCATAATAGTGTATTTTCTGAGTAGGTTTAACAATTTTCTACAAATTACTTTAGCAAACAAAGCCATGAGAATATTGAGCCCTGGGACCAGGGGTGGCATTCATGATAGGGCTCTGCTTCACTAAGGTGCCTAGGAAAGCAGCAAAGGATAACCCAAGTGTTTGGCCCCTGCACCCATCTGGGAGATCTGAAAGCTCCTGGCTCCTGGCTTCGGACCAGCCCAGCTCTGGCCACTGCAGCCATTTGGGAGTGATCCAGCAGATGGGAGATGTTCTCCAACTCTCCTCTAACTTTTTCAAATAAATAAATCTTTATAATCTTCATGTATGCGTGTGTATGTGTATGTATGTATGTGTACACATGCACACACATATTTATAAGTAACCTCATCCCTCACTGTTTCTCTAATTTGTTTATTTTAGAAGTAGAAACAAAAATAAAAAAAAGAGAGAGAGAGAGAGAGATAAAGAAAAATAGAGACGGTAAGCTCCCAGTCTTTTGGTTCATTTCTCTCAGATGCCTGCAATAGCTTTGCTTGAAATAGGCCACAGCTGAGAACACAGCTCAGGTTAAAAGGGGCAATGATCTAGCCACTTCAGTTATCACTTGAGCACATGGTACAATAGGTTAAGCATCCATCTGCAGTGCTGGCATCCCATATGGGTGCCCATTTGATTCCTGGTTGCTCCACTTCTGATTCAGATTCCTGCTAATATGCCTGAGAAAGCAGCAAAAGATGGCTCAAGTCCTTGGGCCCCTGCAGACATGTAAGAGAACCAGAAGTTCCAGGCTCCTGGCTAAAAACCAGCCCAGCTCTGGCTATTGTGGTCATTTGGAGCGTGAGCCAGAGGATCAAAACTGTCCTTCTATCATTGTAAATCTGTCTCTTAAATAAAAATAAAGCTTTTCAAAAAATTTTACTCCTTCAAAGGCTAACTTCTAGAATATTTCTCAGCCTTCCCCGTATTAATCTTTGTTTTTAAAGATTTATGTCTTATTCTTAGAAATGCAAATTTACAGAGAGAAACATCTTGTCTGCTGGTTCACTCCCCACCCAAAGTGGTCCCAGCCGCCGGAGCTGAGCCAATCTGAAGCTAGGAGCTTCTTATGGATCTCCCACATGGGTGCAGGATCCCAAGGCTTTGGGCCGTCTCCTATTGCTTTCCCAGGCCACTGCTTTTGAGCTGCTTGGGAGCTAGGTGGGAAGTGCCGCAGCCAGGACATGAGCACATGCATCCTTACGGGACCCTGGCTTGCAAGATGAGGATTTATCCACTAGATGACATTGTCAGGCCCAATAAATAAATCTTTACATCACTTAAAAAAAAATATAAAAGCTCTTGAAGTTTTAACTACAACCCAGGAGCAAGATCAGGGGAAAACAACAAAACCTGCCACAGAAACCATACAACAAATTTAGCTTATATGTGAGACTAAAGATAACTGCTGTAGAATGACTTATTAGCAGGAGGAAATTAAATACCTCATTATTTTGTGAAAATAGGAGGCTGAAAGTTTCAGAAGTATAAAGCAGTCACAATACAATACAAATACTGCAAGCTTTGTTAAGGCAGCAGTTTAAGTTTCAGTAAGATAAAAAGTACCAGTAACATAACAATAAAATATAATATTCTGAGTATACGTAATGTTGTTTTTTAGGTAAGAAACTGAAGGTTGGCATTTTGCAGAAGCAGTCGAAGCTAAGTATGACAGGATTTCTATATGAACAAAAACAAAATTTATCTTTTTAAAAAATTTCTAATGAAGTGCAGGTTTATAGGAGAAAAAAATAAATTAAGAAGAAATTATTGTGAAGCAATGATTAAGAAGACAGTTGAGACATGAAATGATAGTGAAGTTCTATCAAATCAATTCAGTTCTTCAAGCCTGTTTTCTTATCACGGAAACAGGCACAGTGATCCTGTTCTATCAATCACACATGCAGTGATGACAAGTAAAAGAAGTCACACATGAAAGTACTCTCTGAAAATGAGAAAGGACCCATCTTCATCTGGTTTACTGCTCTGTCTTCAGCATCTTGACATACAAAGGTGCACACGTTTCTTACTTGAGTATGTGTTTTTAACAAGCTTCTCTAAGGAGCTGAAGTAAAAGCAAACCCGTTCACAGAAACTCAATCACAAGATAATTCAAACATTTCAAAAAGCACATCAAAAGTTTATAATTTCAGGTCTACCCAAGGTAATCCAACTGTTGTAGGTATCCAATTCTATTTTACCTTTCCTGGGATGAAGCAACAAAGATTTGAATCCACATACTTCATGAAAGTCATATTTAATAGTGACAGCCGTGTTTCGACAGCAGCAAGGATGTCTGCGTGACGAGCTAGTGAGTGATTTCTCCTTTCTGACTCTCTCCTGTAATGGCAATAACAATAAAACACAAGCATTAAAGCAGCACTGAGGGCCGCAATGTTAAGCAATCAAAATGCCTTAATGGCACAGTGTACTTTTACATGTTAGTACAGGAACCTTTGATGGGGTCATAATTCAATTGTAAGAAGAAACGAACCACTGTGTCCAGAAATCCTTGCCAAAGACTACTACTTGCTGACAGACCAGTTGAAAAAATTAAGTTCATTTTAAAGATCTAAATTAAAAAAAAATTTACTCTGCAAAAGCAGATTTACAGAGAGAAGTAGTGAGAGACAGAGAGCTATTCCACCTGCTGGCTCACTTCCCAAATGGCTGCAACAGTCAATCTGAAGCCATGAGCCAAAAACTTTTTCCAGATGTCCCACATGGTGCTGGGGCCCAGGGACTTGAGCCATTCTCCATTGCCTTCCGAAGCTATAAGCAGGGAGCTGATCAGAAGTGGAACAGCTGGGACTATAATTGGTACCCATATGGGATGCTGGCACCTACAGATGAGGATTCTTCAGCTAAGCCACCACCACAGTCTACAATTTCTTTTTATTTATTTATTTTTTACTATGTCAAGTCTAATGGCTATTAAGAAAACCAGATGAAGAATTACATATGAATGTGTACTAAAACATTTGTTTTTGGTCATAAAATTTAGCTCTTTGAAACTTAAAATAGTTTTGTTAGGAAGTCAAGGGGCCTGCACTGTTGTATAGCCTGCTAGGCCTTTGCATGCAACACCCTTATCCCATATGGGTATCAGTTCAGGTCCTGGTGGCTCCACTTCCAATCCAGCTCCCTGTTTATGACCTGGAAGAAGTTCCTGGCTTCTGGCTTTAAACTGGCCCAGCTTTGACCATTGTCACCATTTGGGGCGTAAACCAGCAAACAGAGGTTATCTCCTCTCTCTCTATGCCTTTCAAATAAAAATAAATATATCTTTAAAAAACACTTCAAATATAATTATTTTAAACTACATAATCTAATGGAGTTCAATTTATTCAGAATCCTACAGCCATCAGAATTATCCAATATAAGAACATTTTTATTACCACAGAAATGCTATAACCATAAATCCCTCCCCTCCCATTCTTTCAGCCCCTAGCAATTACTAAGTTATTTTTGCATCTATGGATTTGCCTTTCCAGAACATTTTAGAAGAACGAAATCATACAGTACATGGCATTTTGTGTCTGGCTTCTTTCACTTAGCACAGTTTTCAAGGGTCATTTATTTTGTAACATGTTTCTTTTTATTTCTAAAACATTTAGTTGAAAGGCAGATTAATATATATAGAGAGAGAGATGGGGAGAGAGACAGAAATATCTTTTGTCTCTTGATACTCTGCAAATGGTAGCAAACAGCTGGCTGGCCAGTTTTAAGCCAACAGCCTGCAACTCCACGCAGGTCTCCCTTACTGGTGGCGGGGGCCTAAGCACTTGGGTTATCCTTTGCTGTTTTGTTAGGTGCATCAGCAGGGAGATGGACAGGAAGTGGGGCAGCCAGGACTCAGATCTTCTCTGGGATGCTAATGCTGTAGGTGACCTTAACCTACTGCGTCACAACACTGGCCTCTCTGGCTTGCTTGCTGAAAACCAATGGAAGAGATGAAGGCTTATTTTCTGAACTCTAAATTCTGTTTCACTGAACTATGTCTATCCTTAAATGGCTACCATACATACCATTGATTATTGGGAAATATGAGTCCTCCAACATTATTGTTCTTTTTCAAGACTGTTTTGAGTCTCTTTCCAAAAAATTTTACTATAAACTTCTCAAGTTCTGCAATAAAAAGAGCTGAGATTCTGAATGTGGAGCCAATCTGGGGAGTACTGATACATCACTAGGAAGTCTTCTAACCCATGAACATGGACTAGTCTTAAGTTTTTAATCTTTTCAACAATGTTTTATAGTGTTCAGTGTAAAGTCTTATACTCACATCATATTCATTAGCAAGTACTTTATTTTTTGATACTACTGTAAATAGAATTATACTTTAACTCATTTTTTATTGCTCACTGCTAGTGTTTAGAATGCTAAACCTATTAATGAATAAGCTCTAACAATTATTTAGTGTATTTTTCATATGTAAGATCATATCATCTAGAAAAAGTTTTTCCTCTTTATCCCACTTGGATGCCTTTAACTTCATTTTCTTGCTCTTAACTGTCCTACTAGAACCTCTAGTAAAATACTAAACAGAAATGGACAGAGTTTGCAAATCACAATAGAAATCTCTAACTATGATCTATGAGTCCTTTGCTGCAAAAACGTGGAAATCACTCAACATGTAAATCTTGAGATTGAAAAAAAATAAGGTTAGAAGTAAAATCCCTTACTAAATTAGTCATAGTTTACCTTGGGAGTTGTGCTTTAACTTGTTTCTGACATAGATTGTGGTACCTCTCCACTTTCAGAAATCCCTGATTCAACATTCTCTGACAGACCAAGTCCATTCTTTTACAAACCTGTAAGAAGAGAAAAGAAGACAAAAATCAGTAACTAAATTAATAACAATTAACGTAAAGAAAAACTGATGGCTGAATGTTCTCTGTGACTATATTGTTCCTTAGTTGGCTGCTTTGGTCTCTCTGTTGTCTGAATTTTAAAATCAGGATTCATGGATGAATCCCTCATACCACATAACTTCTATGGCATCAGCAAGAAGTTCATATTATGTGTGGTAAAGAAATTTACTTGGCATCTCATGAAGAAATCAGTATTATGTGTGGATAAAATTTACTTTAGGTGCTTATTGGATATTCTGAATGTAAAACTACTATTACAGTCAGAGATCACAATGCTTAAACCAGTGAAACAAGCAACTTGCAGATTTTTAATAGTTCAAAACAAATAACTATTCTAGTGTGTATATACACACATATATATACAAACATATAGGCTGCGATAATAAAACTGGGGTATTTATATTCAACTTGAGACTAACCTCTTAAAATGTTTATATAATCTGTTATCAAAATGACAATCTTACTTCTAGTGATGTACTTGAGTTTTATATCCTATGATGGTCAAGGCCTTTATGCTAGATACCATTACACCCTCCAAACACTAACTTGTGCAGCAGAATGTGAATGCCTCAGGATTAGAAGTCAGATTGCCTAAATTTGAGTTTAATCTGTAAGCATTCTTGTAAAAGTCAGCTACCATTTGAAAGCCTGAATTATGTACCTGTGTGGATAACAAAGTCACAGAGAAATCATTAAGAATAAATAATACTTGCTAAACAACTTGGTAAACTCTATAGTGTTACAGAAAAGATTTAAATAAATTTTATCTATGTACTAACTTGAAAACTTAGTTCTATTTATTATATTTTTTAAAGATAATCTATCATCTTCCTTTTTTAAAAAAGATGTACTTTTTATTGGAAAGTTAGATATACAGAGAGGAAGAGAGACAGAGGAAGATCTTCCATACACTATTTCACTCCCCAAGTAGTCACAATGGCTGGAGCTGAGCCGGTCTGAAGCCAGGAGGCAGGAGAGTCACGCCTCCAACGTGGATGCAGGGTCCCAAGGCTTTGGGCCATCCTTAACTGCTATCCCAGGCCATAAGCAGGGAGCTGGATGGGAAGTGGGGCTGCCAGGACACAACTGTCAACCATACGGGATCCCAGCACATGCAAGGTGAGGATTTCCACCACTAGGCTATCGCGCTGGGCCTCCTATCATCTTATAAGGCAGAGATACAGCTGTTATCTGCTGGTTTACAATCCAAATGCTGAGCCAGGAAATGCCTGGAAGCCAAGGACTGAATTCGGGCAGCAGGGATACAATCACTTGAGCCATCACACGCTAATCCCTGGTGTGCATTGAGAAGTTGAAACTGGAATTGGAGCTGGGGACCTAAACTCTGGTATGCTAACATGGGTTGTGAATATCCCAGCTGCAAGGACAACACCTTTCCCCTAAATTTTTATTTATTAATTGATTTGTTTACTGTTAATCAAACTCGGTATCTTTTTCTTGAGCATGCAGGAACAAAAAATTTTGGCAAAATGAGTTGAAATTTAAAAAATATCAAATGCCATGGTTTGGATATGGTTTACATGTGTTTCCCCCCAGGGCTCACGTGTTAGAATCTTACTCCTCAGTGTGGCAATGCAAGAGACCAACTGGCAGTAGTGAGGTCACTGGGATTAAGGTTTATTTTTTGTGGGATTCCAGTTAGTTACTTTGAAAGTGAGTTCTTAGGGGCCTGGCACAGTGGCGTACCGGCTAAAGTCCTTGCCTTGAATGTGCCAGGATCCTATATGGGTGCTGGTTCTAATCCCGACAGCTCCACTTCCCATCCAGCTCCCTGTCTGTGGCCTGGGAAGGCAGTTGAGGACGGCCCAATGCACTGGGACCCTGCACCCGCGTGGGAGACCGGAAGGGTTCCTGGCTTCGGATTGGCTCAACTCCAGCCGTTGTGGCCACTAAGGGAGTGAACCATCGGACGGAAGATCTTCCTCTTTGTCTCTCCTTCTCTGTGTATATTTGCCTTTCCAATAAAAATAAACAAATCTTTGAAAAAAAAAAACAATCCTTTGGAAAAAAACCCAAAAAACTATCAGCTAGTGCTGTGGCATAGTGGGTGAAGCCTACCTGAAACACCAGAATCCCATATATGTGTAAGTTGGAACCCCAGCTGCTCCGCTTTTGATCCAGCTCCTTGCTAGTGCAACTGAGAAGTGGTGATGATCCAAGTGCTTGGGTCACTGCACCCATTTGGGAGACCTGGAAGAAGCTTTTGGCTCCTGGCTTCAGCCTGGCCATTGCAGTCAACTACGGGGGTGAACCAGCAAATCATCATTAACTCTTTGAAATACATACATACATCTTTACTTTTAAAGAAGATGTATGTATATAGTTGAAAGGCAAAGTTAGGGAGAGAGGGAGAGATCTTCCATCTGCTGGTTTACTCCCCACATGGCCACAAAAGCTGGGGCTAGACTTGACAGAAGTCCAGATCTCCTATGCAGGTGGCAGGGTCCCAAGTATTTAAACCATTTTCTGCTGCTTTCCCAGCACAGTAAAGTGAAGCAGCTGGGAATTGAACCAGCATCACATGGCATGCCATTACTGTCAGTAGCAGCTTAACCCATTGTGCCACAGCACCAGTCTTCAAATAAATAACTAAGAGTAAATGAAAGCCTCTACTTGATGTATAAAGTAATCAGATGGATAGTTAGCTGTTTGAGAAAAAAACTGGAGGCAGGCATTTTTCCTAGCTATTAGAATGTCTGCATTCATACTGGGTTTGAGTCCCAATTCAATACAGCTTCCTGCTGATGGAGACCCTGCGTACAGTGGGGCATGGTTAAGTAGCTGGATCCTGGAGTTCTTGGTTCAGTTCTAGCTGTTGTGGGCATCTGGGGAGTAAGCCAGCGGATTGGAACTAGCTGTTAAATATACACACCCACTAAATATACACACACTTAAAGACTGAGGTAACTTTTAACCTTTTAGAAAAATACTTGTTTCTGTAGACTGCACCCTTGCTGATAATTTTAAGTTTAGCTCTCTATCAAAAACAGATGGAACTTGATGTCCTTTCTTTCTTCCTGTTCCTTAAGATGCTTTTAACACCAACTACTTTAAAAAATAAATCGCAGAGAAGCATCAGGAAGATCAAGAGAAAATCTGGTTTCAGGGATTCTCGAGATGTTACCACCTGTTACACAATGTACTTGGGCAACATCATGTGAGTCACTGGGGCTCACAGGGATTTACAAGGCTGTCAAGCTCTTTCTGGTCAGTTTGCAAGTTGATTTATTCATGTTGCGATGTCAGCTTCAGCTATGTGGCAATGCTGCAGCAGCAGACTAGAGCAGACTGCAGCAGGCCCTTCCCAGGAGTACAGGGAGGGACCTGAGGTGGTAGGCGGCAGTCAGGCAGCCAAGAGAACAAAGGTGGAGAGCTGGGTGTGGGGATTTTAATCACCTAGAAACAACCGAATATGAGTGCCAACTAACAGCCGTGCAGAAGTACTGTATGGAAGCCGAGAATATGAACAATTAGATAAGACCAATTAAGGAAGACACGACATGGTAAAAGATGTGAATTAAAGTTTGAAGGAGGAATCCTAAGAGGGCTGCTGAAGTGGAGATGCTGGTCTGTATGAAGGCAAAGCTGGGAGTGAAGAAACCACCAGAAACCAAACATTTCTGAAGAGAATCAGTTATGTGAGCAAAGGCAGAAGGGATGATATCTCCCCAGGCTGTGAGGCAGGTGTCTGTGAAGTAGTGAAGTTGCCATCTGGGACACTGGAATCCTGTTCTGGGAGTGCCCACGTGTGCGTCCTGCTTCTGCACGCAATCCTGCTTCCTGCGAATGAGCACCCTCAGAGGGAGCAGTGACAGCGAACTATCTGGGTCCCACCCAAATGGGAGGCCAGGATCAAGTTCCTGGAACTCGAGTCTTTGGGGAATGAAGAAAGGACTCTCTTTGTCTCCCAAATAAAATAATTAAAAGTTTGTAGGAAAATGGAATAATAATAATAATAATAACAACAACTCGGAGGCCAGCACTGTGCATAGCAGGCTAAGCTTCTGCCCATGCTCCAGTAGCTCCCTGCATGTGCCATGTGCCATGGGAAAAGCAGCAGAGCATAGCTCCAGGCCCTGCCCCTGCACCCACATGACAGACCTGAAGGAGCAGCTTAATCAGCTGTATCACAGTGCCAGCAGTGCCCGTGCCCACTGCAGTCATTCTTAGCATTGCAGGACACATGCTGTACAATGAGAAATCTGTGATTTCAGTTGTTAAATCTAACCCTTAATATCAAATCTTGACTATAAAGTGGATATTTTTTTAAACATATGGTACTGGAATAAACTTAGAATATATGGCACCTAACAGCTGAAAACAATTTTTTTCCCCCTCAGATGCTTAGCTACTTTGGGATATAGTATTCTGGATTTCTTCAATTTTGTTTAAGATATGGTAGAGATTTTGGATGTTTTATCACCTTAATAAACACAGTTTTGAGGGGAGGGGAGGAAAGCAGCACTGCTATAATATACATGAGGAGTCGGTAAAAAAAAATTTCATTTAAAAAAATGTCAAAATATAAAAATGGTTTAAGGGCTGGTGCCATGGCATAGTAAGAGAAAGCCTCCACCTACAGCACCAGCATCCTATGTGGACATCAGGTGAGGTCCTGGCTGCTCCACTTCCCATCCAGCTCCCTGTTTAAGGCCTAGGAAAGGAGCAGAGAGGATGGCTCAAGTCCCTGGGTCCATGCACCCACATGGGAGACCCAAAAGAAGCTCCTTGCTCCTTGCTTTGGATTGGCTCAGTTAGGGCTGTTGTGGCCATCTGGGGTAAACCAGCAGATGGAAGATTTCTCTCTGTAACTCTGCCTTTCAAATAAAAGAAAATAATTCTTCAACAAAATGCTATAACTTTAGAAATAAGAGCCTTAAAAAATAAAGCCTTTGGGCCGGCGGTGTGGCCTAGCGGCT